GAAGCTTGTTGTGCGCATGAGTGATGTCGAAGGTCTATGGATGATTGGATGTCCTGTCAAGGGTTGTTGATTGCATGCATGTATGTTTGTATGTACTTATCCGGGCGAGGACGGGGGAACTGAACTGGAGGACCGTCTGCTTAGGAGTATGAGTGTGTTCATCCCGTTGTTCCCCTCCCTTCCGCGGCCCTTCCTGTGCGCATGCGCAGCCTCGGTGTAACTCACTCTCTCTCTCTCTCTTCCTCTCTCTCGCCTTTCCTTGTTGAACGGGTAGTCATCGCTTTTGAACTTCTCGCCCCCGCACCGGTGAAGTCAACCGCCTGCGTCCGCGCGCACGGTTGACGCCCCTGCGGCGGGGAAGAGAACTTGGATTTCATCATCTTCTCCCGGCGCACTAACCTTAAGAGAGAAAGATTACAACGAGTGTTGTATGGAGACGGTGTTGGTACGGAGGACCGGGAGCGCGGGGTCTGGCCCGTGTTCATCGCCTACCTCCGATCGTCCCATCTCGCTACCGGCCTTTCCCATCGCAGATGACAACGGCGTCTACTGCGATGCGGATGTACGGCGCGCTTTGAGTCGAACGGAGCAAGTCTGTTGGCGAGACCCGCCCCGGGCGCTTACTATGAGGGGAGACGGGTTTGTCTTAATTGATTGCTTCAATTCCCCGACTTTAATATTGTCGTACACGGGTTTGACGGTGTTGCCCTGGTCGGCCGCTCACGCCACATGGCGGCCGCAGTTTGATTGTCGCTGGTGTCGCCAGGGGGACTCATGTTCTTGGCGACGATTGGTCCTGGGTTCCGAGGGCGCGACACGTTTCCCTGAGCTCTCCCGTAATGCGGGGGCGCTGCCCGCGCAATTTCGAACTCGGATGCCGGCGAGTCCTCCCGCCGCTTCACCCTCTCGGAAACTTCCGCGCGGACTTCGCGAGTCCGACGCCAAGGCTTGAAGGCCTTGAACCCACCACCTATCCCTCAAACCCATGACGGCTGGAGTTTCCGTCTATGGCCGCCATGGCCCTCTCCCCTTGATGACTTTTTCCGTCCTGATGCACGACGGCCGTTCATTTTTGCGGCAACTCTTCTGATTTTATTGTTTTAAAGTGACCCGACCCCCGTGGGACTTCGCGACGACAGTTCGACTCCGGGGTAACCTCTGGCATGAAACAAGAGCCTCCCATTCTGTCCGGGAGACTCAACCCCTACGGCCAAAAATCCTCGGCCACGCCCCTCCTAGAACTCTGATCGGCGGCCCAGTATGGGAAGCCGCGAGTGGGCGTGAGGTTGCGTATCACATACTGCCTCCTGCCTACCCGTGAAGTGCATGGGAAGTCCCTATGTACTACCTCGGCCTGCCTCCTGACTGCCTGAAGGGCGAGCCAGGCCGAGGAGGCTGCTCTTGCCAATGCCAAAGTGTGCCAGGCGCTGGTGCTGCAGCAGCTGCTGAGGCTGGCGTGGGGAACAGGCTAAGAATAGCCTGTTCCCGAAACCCTGGTTCGGTGCCTGAGTTTCAGGGCCGGTCGTTCTGATGAACGACTGAAAATGGCCATTCGTTTCAGGCTAAAAAGGCTGTTGCCATTTTTAGTCTGAAACGACACAGGGACTGTAGGCCCCTGTTTTCAGGCTTTCGGGCTGAACAGTCACGGGGCCTGTAAGCC